ACCAAAAATATAAAAATAATGTTTCTCCAAAAGCTGGATGGGGAAATTTGTAGGTGTTGTTGGGCTGCAACTCACAGCAGCCTTACATAACTAGGTGAGGAACACTGGGAGCTGCAACTCAACATCTGGAGGGCCCCAGCTTTGTTTTAAAAGGTTCTCGCTTTTTCAAGATCCAATTTTAAATAAAGTTTTGGAGAAGAGTAAACACTGCCATGGCCTATCAGCTCAGAAATGTACTTTCACCCAACTGCTCTGTGAGGACAACATGGTTTTGCCAACACAGATATAAAAATCTGGTGAGACCGTTTTGTTCCATGACAGATCTTTCCCTCCACCTTTCATCCAATGTGTTTTACTTGTTTCTCCTCCAAGAACGTTTGGTCTTGATCCTGTGCATAAAGGATTGTACAACAGAATAAGCATGCAATTGCAGCATGCAAGAGAAAGCCTAACCCAGGCCCACAAGTTTTTAGAAGTTACTTTTTTGGCTACTGCTGATAGAAATATTGATATACATATAACTGACTCCTGTTTGTTAGTCCTCTCTAGATTAGTGTCATTTAATCAATTGTTCACTAGGGATTCAACACATAGAAAAATCCCATCAATTCAATGTGAAGTCATAGGCTTTCATGGCTGGCATCCATAGGTTTTTGTGGGTTTTTTGGGCTGTGTGGCCATGTTCTAGAAGAGTTTCTTTCTGACGTTTCGCCAGCATCTGTGGCTGGCATCTTCAGAGAATACTGGAATGGAAGAGAGTGGGTCTATATATAATGTGAGACCCTGGGTAGTGCAGTGTGGAGCTCTCTGGATTGAAGCCTCAAAAGGTAGCACTTGGCATGCTCCATTAAAAAAATGGTAGTTGGCCACCAAATACTTGCTTCCTTTTTAGGCTGGATATCTTTGTACCCATCTGCTTTCAAGGCAAAGCTCTTGCCCTGAGATTCCTGCCCCTCACTCTGAGAACCAGAGAAGGTCCAGGCCCAGAAACCTAAGGCCAGGTTCTGAGATCTGGAAATTCCATCGGTAGGCAAAACAATCCTTTCCCCAAGCCCAGGCTATGAGGAGGTTAAGGAAGATGACCTGATGTTGGGTGGGAATCTGTTTTCTGGTGGTGGTG